TATCATAATTTTGAGTTATCAGTTCACTTAAAGTAAATACTTCAACCGACTTAACGAATGTTCGTTTCTTCCTGGTTTATCTGGATAACTCAGATTATGTCCAAACAGATTTACAACTTTTCTGGGTTTCTGTCATTTTTCATATCCTTAGGAAAACGTGGCAAAAATCACTGATTTATTTCAATGGAAAATTTATTTTGTATCTATTTTCCCAAAATAGAACAACTGTTTTTTAACCGGTATGATTTGTTTATCTATAATTAAGCACAAAACTACACAATAGTGTATACCACGGGTATCGAAACTCGGTTTTTAACGCTGTAAATCCACAGACATACAGCCGTGCCAATGGGGAGCGGGCATGATTAGATCGCTCATGAAATCAAATCCTCAATGCGACTATTAGACTTCTGCATAATATAATCCTCTGACGGGTCTAGATTTTTTTTATGCTCATAATTCAACAAATTGGTCGCATGCGATACAAAAGTAAACATACCATTTTATTACAGCGATTCGAATTCCTTACAGTGTTTTGAGAACCAAGTATATGTATATATATATATATATTGTTGTAAATATACCTATAGATCCAGGAGTTTCCTGATAATCTAAAGCCAAGTACACCACCGGATATTGACTTCGAATGATATCCTGGGGAAGTAAAAACAAAATCATGCGCTCGTTTAAAGTTCGTTTAAACCGAGAGGCTCTTGCTGAAGTTTCTGTTTGCCTGACTAACTCGGTAAGCAATCTCATATGTTGGATCCTCCCCCACCCTCCACCCCAGGAAAAGAGAAATAATCCAAATAAAATATTGAACTTTTAAAAACATTCCATGGGTGATTATATTACAGTTTTTATTCATTCACGTGAGACTACTTAAAAGCTGATGGGCTTCCATGGGTTTACTGGTGATTATATTACAGTTTTTATTCATTCACGTGAGACTACTTAAAAGCTGATGGGCTTACGAATTCCCAAATGGTTAGTATTTAAAAACTCATTATTAATAATCATTTAGAGCTAATAATAGAGCTAAGTACATCAGCACCAATGTTAATTAGTAAACACACAAAAAAATGGCCTAATGTAGGACTGCTCTTCGCACAGAAGGCGTCTGAAATGAAATTTTAAACCAGGAACGTTGTAAGAATCTTCTCCAAATATTAGCGCAAGTCACTTACAATATATAGTATACCATATCCAGCATTATAAGAAATTACGAAGGCTAAACATTGTAATTAAAGTAAATAACTGTTATTTTATGTGCGGTTTCTACGAGGCGAATAAAAAAGCACACAACAAAATAATCATTTATGATTCAAATAAGCGAATACAATGCCTCGTCAAATTCCTTAACAAAACGTTAAAACTAATGTTCTAATGACCCTTAACTGGCAAAGATTGTTCGCTTGTTAAATTTCGCGCAAAGCTCTAGATATATCTGCGTTAACCATCTCTAATTTAAAAGTGATAGGCTAGAACAAAGGCATCTAGTTAACATCACCCACCGCCAGCTCTTTGGCTATCCTTAACTAACGGAAAATGGGATTGACAGCCACATTATAAAGCCCTCACGGCTGAAAGGACAAGCATGTTCGGTGATAGGATTCGAACCCTAACCACCAGGCCGTGCCATAGCCAATTGGCAAGGAAACGAACGGTTTAAAAAGAAAACTTTAACCGCGATATTACAAATTATATTTCAAAACAACAAATCAGTTCTTAGTATATATTGATTAGTCAACCATTCAAACGGTATGTCTGCGGACTTACAACGCTAGAAACCGGGTTTCGATACCCGTGGTGGGCAGAGCACAGATAGCCCATTGTGCAGCTTTGTGCTTAATTACAAACAAACAATTCAAGAAGCCCTTCAAGTGACGAATGTCACACAGCTGTCACCCGTGGACTTGAAACATATATATACTTAACTGTAAGCAGGCACGTGCTGTTATTATCAAGTTCTCGATTTCTTTTAAGAACAACTGAAAGATTCAACAAATCTGTAATACAGTAGAAACTGATTGTACAACGCTTAACGTTACCACTCCATATGACCAAACAAGACAATATATATATATATATATGCACCCTCCAAGAAGAAATATATGTTTTCTGTTATTAATGACTGAAAGGTTCAACCAATCTGTAATACAATAGAAACCGACTGTACAACGCTTAACGTTACCACTCGATATGACCAAACAAGACAATATATATATACATATATGCACCCTCCAAGAAGAAATATATGTTTTCTGTTATTAATGACAGTTTGTTGTTAAGCTCAAAGGTGCACAATGAGCTATGCGCTGTACATATGTGGGGATCGAACCCAAAATGTAGCTTTACAAGTCCTCAACCTTACTGTGCCACAGGGAGAGAGGGGCAATAAGGAGAGAAAATGTACACAGATATACATATATATATATATATTTAAACAATGAATACATTTACGTCGGCTCACAAAACTCCCGAAATGTTTTGAAAAGATTTAATACACTAAACTAAAACCTTTTTGAACAATTTATTATAACCATATTCAAAACAGAACACCAAAGATGTAGGTTATCTTACCAGTTGGACCAGTTTTCCCTGGGGGTCCTCTTGGGCCTTGAGCTCCAGGTACACCTGAAGAAACGTAGTTAAACAAATGTGTTATATTTTACTATATTTTATCTAAGGGTTTTAACTTATAATATTTATTATTTGTTTGATGAGAAAAAAAAAGTTTTTTTTTTTAATTTATGAAAGGATTAAATGAAACGCTTCTTCAGTATGTTATTATGTAAACTTTTCTCTATTACATAAAAAAACAGGAAACTGAAGCTGTAACTTACTGATGTTGGTTACACATAGTTTGATGTTTGAACTAGAATATAAACACAGTGGTATATGATTTGGGGGGGAGAGAAATAGTGAATTCACTTGTAACGCCGGATAAAAGACTAAATAATGTTAAATGATATGTTATAATCAAAATGATCTGAATTTCTTAATTTGAGGATTTTATATATATATATATTTGCTTGAAGTTAGAATGCAGACACGTTACAAAATTAACCTAAACTGGTTGACGAGTGCTGATATTAAATAGTTCAAAATACGACAGCTGTTTTTTTGTAGTTTTTCATTCAATAGGGGGAGCACTGAAAAATTGCAAATTTTTAAACTAGGGTAATATTAGTTATCGGTTAATAGTTGAACATAAATAACACAGGTTTTATTGTCTTGAAATGTTTACATGTTATACAGTAATTCCTGTACGCTGAATCCAAAAATGATATCCACTTTTCTCCATCGCGTACAGATTTTTCACAAAACGTCATAACGTAATACATAAAAGAAAGATGACAGCACGTAGTTTTGAGACGAAAAGACGTAGATTTCACACACACACACAAAATCGGGATGAATGAGAATGCATATTCGTTTGACTCCAATGTTCTTCCCTTTTTTTCAGTTTATTTGTATTTTTTTAACAAACATAATATTAAAAAAAATGGGCCCGGCATGGCCAGGTGGTTAGGGTACTCGACTCGCAATCTGCGGGTCGC